TGATATGTCGCTCTCCTCATCCGACGAGAGCTCCTCAGACTTTTACGCTGACGAACACGGCGACAGAGCGACGTCGCCGCTTCGCATAGATTGTCGGCGTGCTGGCGTCTATGAGGACGATGAAGATGAATCAGAAGATGTCGTCCGTGTTGCTGACACGTCACCGATGCTAGATGACAGCTTCACTCTCTCATCGCAGCACGGATTCGCTGCTCCCAGCATCCTCAACTTCATCGGTATGTTATCAACTCATCCTAATTTTTATACTAGATTATATTAATAAATATCTTATCTTGTCATAGTCATCTCACACTGTTACCATGTACTTTCCTGTTGCCGCTTCTAGTTTATTTTTGTCTGCTGCTTGTGCGTTGTAAATAAAGAGCACTTAGTAAGCCTTATAAATGTTGCAGCGTCGCCGCCTCTTGAGGGGGTTCCCAAGACATTTACACGTATTTCCATATCAGCGTAATTTTAAAAACCCACATTTCCTTTGTACAATAATAGATGAATATTGTATGAAATGATGGAACCCATTTCTCTTATTTAGATGCGATTAACGTCAAATGTATTGTTTTATTTATAAGCGTTAAACATTGAGTGTTTTTGTCTTATTTAGAAGCACCGAACGTTGAGTATATGATGTCGACGTCAAGTCCAGCCTGCTGCTACATGATCGACTCTCTGGCCTCGTTCATGGCTTCCGATGGCTACCGCGATGACAGTTAACATACCGCGTGTCTATCGATGGCAGACGAACCCATGGAAGCCAGCCAGACAACACGAGATGGTTTATTACACGAGTATTAACGCGCGCGTGTGTAAAGCATTCGTAGATGATATATAAGCGGTTGTTGAGGAGGACAATAGCGACATGTGTCATCACGTATATGTGCGCGACTTTGAACCTGGCTACCACCTAAAGTATCCACGTCAATACGTACATAATCGTAACGATATATTCGTGTTACTATAGCATACATGTATACTCTAAGCGTTTCACTTATTGAACATATGAGAGAGTAAATATTTGTGTAGTGATAAATTCGTGTTGACATAGTTCTATAATTTACTCACTATCATATGTCTGTATTGAACAATGTAACAATAAAGCATACGTTGTAAGCAACGTGACTTGCCAACCATTAGCATTAGTGTGACCGCGACGGTATAAAATACTTACAACTCTATACGCAAGTAAACGAGCAAATTTATTACAAAAAGCCGTCTCTCTACTTAACGTATCATTCATTCCAATTTAATATCTGCACTCAGTAAAGTTATGATGATATCAGATATACGATATAGGCCTAAGGCGCATTGATGAGAGACATCCTTTGCTCTACAGTTTCTTCATAGTTGTAATTGTAGTTTGCGAATATTCCTAGTTATGGTGATAGTGATTGCATGTCTTCTAGAAAATATGTGACACTGAAACCAAGTCAGAATTATGGAATATGACACAATTGTGTAGTTATTTACCCTCCGAATACGACGGCAGCTCGACACACGTGCCGCCGCACTCTGTCGTCGCGATTCAATTAGACATCGCGTTGTGTGCGACCGTTAATAAGAAACCGGTGGGAATGCGCAATGGCTTAGCATGTGTGTGTTATTAAGCTGGTGTCGTCTACTGCACTGGCTTACACCGGCGCAGCGCGCCAGCCATCTGCTTGATGACAGTAATTATGCGCAAAGCAACAAAATTCAAATATTTTGTCAACATACAAGGCAATAACGTGACTGGGAACGATACCCTATAACGAGCTGTTACCTGTGGCGTGCTAGTCATCTCGCAGAAATATTGCACTGATAGCGCAGTATTCACTGTTTGGGTGTGATTTATTGATGAGTTAGTACGTGGGTCTCAAGTCTTGCATTACTTGACAGCTCAGTTTTGTTAGATAAACAATAGAAATTTGGACCAGTATCTGTATTCGGAGGGTTGAAATAGTACTACATAATCGGTGTCATGTTATTCTCATAATGTCTGATTGGTTTAGCTGTCATATATAATACATATTTTTCTATGGAAGACATGCAGTCACTATTACCTAACGCGCATTATCTCAGGTAATATT